TGTAACGATAGACATATTCGTATTGAACCGTTCGGTACGACGTTTTCGGTTCGGTACGCATTACAAACCGAACGATTCGTTGGACTAATCCTATTACATTTGAAAATGAAAGAGCTTAAAGTGTGTGAAATATAATGTTCTCAGTACCACTGTGCAGCCCAAATAACATAACAGGCAACGTGTTGTCTGCCCCGCGATAACCTCCCGTTGCTGGGGTGCGTCGAAAGACGAGGATCTTGTATTGACGATAGCCAGAGATATTATCAAAAACATCAATTATTGGCAATATTAAGACGATTTGGCATTTTCAATTAATGTAGCCCTGTTACATTCTTATTTTTATTAGGCCTATTATTATTATGAAGTTACTTTTATTATTACATTTTATTATTAAATTCAAATTACAATTAATTTGCCCCACAATATTACCGCATAACTGACACGCTGCGAGGATAACAAACGATAAGGCCTGTCTTTTAAAACAGGTCTATTATACAATTAATTATAGGCCTATAATTAAAATATTAAGACAGCAGTCATCAATAAAAATCAATGAAATAAAATGCTTTATTTAGCCTATTTAAAGTGCCGACTTTCAAAAACAGCCTGTTTAACACCAAATACGTTTCTTCTCATTTATTCATTTTTTTTTTTTACTATGTACGGGCCACAAGAGAAATATTAAGGGAATAAATTCAAATAGTTAGCTATATACCGTAATCAGCATATGTTGAAGTAGATTCGTCTCTCGTCGTCTCTGAGAGAATATGTGGCGTCAGATAAAGAAAAGCTCCGTCATTACTCCGTCATTTCACCTTTACTTTCACTTTCTAGTGATATTCATTGGCTCGCCTTCATGGTATAAAACATAAATATTTCCAACATTGCGACGAAAGCAATTACCCAACCCCTCCTCCCCCTATCGAAAACGTACCGAACCGTGACACCACTGTCGTATCGAACCGAACCGTGAATTTTGCGAACCGTTACACCCCTAATATATTTATATACTGTATATACTGCATATATATAGCTTTATTGGCATTTGACTTTTTATGACAATTAACCACATTTTATTTTTAAAATAAGCACACTGCTGTTTATATGTAGTTATACATCAAATTATTTGTTGTATTGCCTTTAAACTGATTTTTATTTTTTTTTAAATCATGGTACTACAGTCATTTGATAAAGACGATAATGAATGTTATATAATGATGATTCCCATTAGATCAATAAAAAAAAATCAGTAAAAAATACTGTACAAATAATAAGAACTAAATTTGAACACATTATTGAATTGTCTAAAACTGATATTGTGGACCTAAAAATAGGCTTTTATTATTCCTTTCTTTAGATTTTGTTGTGACGCAAGAAACCATGTCCTTTACCATTCTTGGCGTATCTGGTTATGACATTGTGTTAGTTGCCCAGAAGAGTTTACCTATTATTAGTTCATATTATCAATGATTGTACATGCCACTGAAAGGGAATGTTGAACTATGTTAGCTAGTCAACAGTTTGTAAAATCTCCCTGAAGGATCAATAAAGCACATCAGATGAATGTAATCCAGTGCACATATTCACATGCACTCACACACCAGACCGAGTGAATTAAGACTGATAATCTGAGCTGGGCTAAATACCTGTAATCTCTTCAGGAGGTCATATATCAGTGTCAGGTCTGCTGTGTGTGTGTGTGTGTGTGTGTGTGTTTGTGTGAACGAGCCTTGATCTGAGATCAAGATGACTGGCCTTCTGCCTAATATTACCGTCAGACAGCAGGACACACACACACAAACAAATATAACACACATGCACGTTCCTATCAAATACTTTTGCCATTTAAACTATTTTCCTATTCATACAATCTCGACTTAATGTTTTTCCTGTAATATAACCGTGAACGCAGCAACAATTCTTCATACATCACAAATGTGTGTTCATTTATATGCTTTTTTTTTTTTGGATTTATGTTCTGGATTGTTTGGATTTGTGTGCTGTCCCATCTGCTCCTGCAGCTTCTGAAACCTTGCAATTTTGTTCCC